CAACCAACCCCTGCACACACAGACATGAGGGCACCCCAACCAACCCCCTGCACACACAGACATGAGGGCACCCCAACCAACCCCCTGCACAGACATTAGCGTTTCCAACCCCCTCCCTGCACACACAGACATGAGGGCCTTCCCAACCCCCTCCCTGCTCACACAGACGTTGGGGTCTTCTCACCACCTCCCTGCACACACAGACATGGGGGTCTTCCAACCCCTTCCCTGCATACAACCACTTCCTGCACACACAGACAAGAGGCCTTTCCATCCTGAACCCCCAGTCTTGCTGCCACACCTACAAATGTTTAACTCCTGAACACAGACTCCTGACTCTTTCAAGATCAGGTCTTGGTCAGAATGTGAGGCCCCTCCTGGGGTCTCCATCTCCGCTCACTGCAGTCAGGGCTGCCAGCTGTGTGTGAAGTCTCCCTGTGTGCTGTCATCCTTCCCATAGTCATCTCCCCCATCAAAGGCCTGAGTCCGTCATCCCAAAGGTCCCTCCTCTGGGCCACCCCACCATGCTCTCCCCAGGATTCCCCAGACAACGGTTATAGAACCTTATCTTGCCTCTAGGCCTGAGTGTAAACTCAGGCCAATGGAAGTAGCAACAGCACCCACAACTGGGCCGTGGGAAGGGCTCAGCAATCAGTTTAACCAGCCCTGCAGGAGTCTCTACTCAGCTTGGGGAGTTTCACATGCCACACATTGGCATCTGGTGTGCCCTCTCATCCCACCCACATATGCTCACTCGGTTCATCTCCTATCACCCCCTAAATAATCCACCCCATCCTACCCGACTAACAACTCATAGGTCCCTCATCTTAAGAAGACCTGACCTTGGTAGCTTGGCCTTCACTCTTCTGTCCTAGAGCATGATGTCCACTCCCTTCAGCTCCAGACTTCTTTTGACTGAGGTTCTACCCTGCCTGGCCCCAGTATTCATCTTCCAGAATCTCCTCTTGCTTCCCTGGCTCAGCCGCCCCAAAGGATGGAGTGTTCACATGGGGACCATCTTCTCAGGCCGGGCTGTGTTGCATTTATCTCTGAGGCTTGATAGAGGCCTACTCAAGCATTCTGCACATGGCAGGTGTGGAATAGTGATCTAGTCAACTGTGCTGACTGGTTGGTTTATAACTAGAAATAACCTGTAGGGCTAGAGGAGAAACCTGGTTTTAATGCCTTATTAAGCCAGGCTCTCATTGAAAGATTTCACAGATTCTGTCTTATTCTATTCCATCAACAGCAGGCCAGTGTCATTTGTCTTTTGGATGGCTTCAGGTGAGGAGAGCTTTAAAGGAGTTAAGGACTTGCTCAAGATCACAGTCTCACAAGGACCATGCATTTGTGTACCTGAGCAGAAAAGTGTATCCCTGAGAAAGATCAACCAGTGACTGTGATTGTCGCAGATCTAAAGGCTGCAGAAACATTTTCTGCCACACACAGCCAAGATCAGGCCATTGATGCCATTCAGCGTTTGGGGAATGTGCTTCAAAATGCAGTCAGGGGCTAGGGAGATACCGCTTAGTGGGAGATTGCTTAGTAGGGAGACAGTTTACAAGCATGAAGACCTGAATTTGATGTAAAGGGGAGGGCAGAATTTGATCATCAGAAATTGTATAAAGGGGAGGGCATGTAATCTCAGCATACATACATGCATACACACATACACACA